TCCATGGAGATCTGTCTCATAATTTATGGTATAATTAAAGCACCACACTAGATTTTTGCATCCACGTTGCTGGCATAGTAGACTTGAGTTTTAAAAAATAACCACAAGCTATCTAAAAAATTGACCGCTTTGCACATTTTTATTAATAAAATGTTGTCATTGATTAATTTTTGCAAAGCGGTCAATTAAGCTAGTAATCAATTACAACATTTTTATTAATAAAAACCACAAGCTATCTTGGTGGAGTTGGACTCGCATAATGACGATCATGTACATATGGATTATTCACATGGGTAATCGGGTACTTTAGATAAATGATCACTATTCATCTAGTTGATATTTTCATGTTATTTGGCAAGACATGTTTGGGCTTTATCTTCTTTACCTTTTTCTGAAAACGGTTTTGATAGTGTGGCATTGTACCCACATACACAAAGACAAACATCAGAATTTATATATGGCATTGTGGCATCGTCTAACGATGGTTTTTTAATAGGGAAATTAGGCAAAATAAACATCAAAAATTTATAAATTAACCGTCTAACTATAATAGGAAGTGGCTCTCTTTCCACAACACTCTACCGACAAAAATAAAAGTGGTTCCGATCTCCCTCTCCGGTGGTCGGTTTATCTCACCGCCACCGCGAGAAGGACCGCGTCTCTTTGCTCTTTCTTTTGCTTCCTTTTCGTTTTGATTCACTTGGCAGTTTGACGTGATTTTGGTGAATCTACACACCGTGGGTTTGGGTTTGTAGTCAGATTCTTGGCGGGCTGTGTCGATGATCCTTTCCGCCACTTCACGATTGCTTTGATGATTTGCTTCTTCCAGTCTCTGCTGCTCTTCGATCATGTTTGGTTTCGAGGTTTTGAAAGTTTCAGAGTCTTCGTCGAATCGGATAGGGTCTTCTTCGTGGTTTTAGTTCCTGATTTGTGGGTTATGTTGTTGTGGGGCTTTTGACAAGGTTTCAAGGTTGGGTTCTTTTCGGTGGATTGATGGTGTGAGGTCTTTAGGGTTCTATTCGGTTTTGTTTTGGATGTCATGTTTTATGCACTTGTGGTTGATGCTCGTGTTGAAGGCAGAGACATATTAGATTTGGTTTATTGGTATGAGTTTTTAGTATGGCGAGTGAAGTTAAGATTGTGGTTTGGATGTGGTCCGGGTTCGTGGTAGTAGCTCGTGATGAAGTTTGCGGCGGACTTATACACCTGGTGGTTTCGCTGATTCTTTACTTGCGAGATCCGCGGAGGTTTGGATTACCTTCTTTCTAGGCTTTCCTTTACTCGTTGGTGCTTTTGAGCTCTCCAATCTCGGCTTGTTTGTGTGATTTGGTTACTTTGATCTGAGTCCTCTTAGACTCTTGTTTATGGTGGGATCTATGGCGTTGTTGATGATGAAGATGTTCCAGCGCAGGTTCTTCTTATCCAACTACTTTGCGTTATTACACTCCGTTCTCCGATTAATTTTTCCTGCTGCGATACTTTTCGACAGCTTTCCCATAACAATATTGGGTCAAGTATCGTTGAAGAAGCAATCGTAGGAGTGTTTTGGATTTGTTTATTTCAATGTCATGGTGTTTGAGTGTTTTAGTTTTGTTGTAAAGTTGGCTTTGGTAGATATGTTCTACCTTGTTTGGGAATTTATGTTTTCCTGACGGTTTCAGTTTGGCTTAAGGGTGCTTGGATTGACTATGTAATCAATCGTGTATTCTCCTTTTTGTTTAATAAAATTTCCCAGACGACAAAAAAAAACTATAATAGGAAGTGGCTATGCTATTTTGTATATCTTATACAATATTACCGAAATTGCCCCAATCTCTCTCTATCCCTCCCTCTTTCCCTTTCTCGCTCTCCGCCTCATCCTCTTACAGATCCACAACTCTCTCTCTCCCCTCAAGATCTTACAAATCCACAACT